AGAAAGTTGAAGAACATTGTTCTCTGATAAGCCGCTCACTCAGAGCACAGTTCTGGAGAAACGCAAGTAAAGTCTCTCTCTCTCTCTCTCTCTCTCTCTCTCTCTCTCTCTCTCTCTCTCAGGTCAGTCAATTCAATCTGAGTAATTTGTTCTCTCTCCCTTTGTGAATAAGCCCGTCCCTCTGACAGAGCAGTTCTGGAGAAGCGAAAGTAAAGTTTCTCTTTCTCTCTCTCTGCTCGGTCTGTTCCATTAGTTTGTCCTCCACCTCAGAGAGCAGCAAAATGGCAGAAGCCTTCATAAAAACTCTGGACTCTTTCAACTGTCCGATCTGTCTGGATCTACTGAAGGATCCAGTGACTATTCCCTGTGGTCACAGTTTCTGTCTGGACTGTATTAAGGACTGCTGGGGTCAGGATGATCAGATGGGGGTCTACAGCTGCCCCCAGTGCAGACACAGCTTCACTCCAAGGCCTGTTCTCAACAAGAACACCATGCTGGCTGAACTAGCTGATGGTCTGAGGAAGACGAGGCTCCAAGCTGCTCCTCCTGCTGGATCTCCTGCTGGATCTGGAGATGTGGAGTGTGACGTCTGCACTGGATCAAAACTCAAAGCTGTTAAGTCCTGTCTGGTGTGTCTGGCTTCTTACTGTGAAGCTCATATTCAGACTCATTATGAATCTCCTGCATTTAAGAAGCACAAACTGGTTGAAGCCTCCATGAATCTGCAGGAGAAGATCTGCTCTCATCACGACAAACTGCTGGAGATTTTCTGTCGCACTGATCAGAAGTGTATATGTCTGCTGTGCTCACTAGAAGGACACAGAGGTCATAACACCATCTCAGCTGCAGCAGAGAAACCTGAGAAACAGGTAAATTAAACCATGATCCTTCAAACCAAGATAGCTATAAATACATTAGTCTTTAAAAGAGGCTCACTTGTTTTTTATGTTTTTCAAAATTAGACAGATTTACTCTAAGCTTATAACTGATCTCTTTCCATGTCACAATGGTATGGTACTTAATTTCTCTAAATATGTTTTAAAAGGGTCAAAAACATTTGAAGTAATAGGGGAATCTCTTGCTATTTGGCAAATGTATTGCAAAGAGCAGAGAGATAATTCTCACTACACATTTGGACTAACATGATAAGTGTGTGAAAAAAGGGCTTCAGGTGACTAGTTAATGAGTATGGAAGGATGCAATGAGCTCATGTGATTGGTGTGAGTTGATACCTGTAAATCAGTGAGCTCGTATAATGAGGTAATGATTGATGGGTACTGAGTCTTTACTTTTAGTCAATGTCCAGTACTTTCTGACATCCACCAGGTCATTTGCAAGCGTTCCCAAACTCATCTGACACATTTTATTACATGGTGTGTTCCAGGTGTGTTACTATGTGAGTGTTCATATATTCGAATATGTAACTATTAATACTGTGATGTGAATGCTAATCAATATATTATTAATTTATTATTATAATTCTGTCACATTCAGATTTTTTTCACTTTTTTGTCTTATTATACTTAATAGGTGATGTGCTCAGACTGTAAGTGGTGGTGTACAGATTTACGTGAACTTGTGTCATTGTGCACACACTGTACACCGACTAAACAAAACAGATATCACCTTACATGACAAACGAGCTATGCCATCAAAGTGCCTCTCACCAAAATTGAAAGAAGTGTTATGGCTTGATAATCAGATCATCATTAGACGGATGAAAATCTAGTTTCTGTGTATCACATGACATGAAGATGGGTTTGCACCATTAGAATTCTTAATCTGATTTCGCAGATCATACAGGTATCAGTGATTTTATACAGTTTGAAGGCTGTGAGTTACTGTCTCTAGAGGCTGACATACTATACATATCAAAATCATGAAAATTACTTGTTAACGTTGGTTTGCTATGAAAAAACTCTATTGTAGTGGTGGGCAGTACATCTGGCCAAAAAAACCACCATGCGTGACAAGTGTCATCATATTTAGTTTTTTTGAGGTTTGGTAAGTTGGAACAGTCAAAAAGACTGATCAAAAACCATTAATTACTAAAAAATATATATGAATACAGTGATGTTACAATGAATTGTTTCACACATTGCGCTGTACTAAATTTTGTTTTGTAATGAAACATGCAGTTGGTCAGTGCTCTTTAAGCACTGATGGTATCCAAAATAAGCTCACAAAAGCATATTTTCTCGCAATGTGCAATAAGAATAAATATTGTCATACTTCCCACCCCGTCTTACTGCAAAGAGAAGAAGATTCACAGAGGTCAGGTCTAAGAGGCATGGTCTTGACTTCATTGCTACTGTGCA